ACCCCACTCCGACACATTATACTGACTCCGAGCCGACCAGTCCTTGTTGTACCCATTAATGCCGAGCGCCAGACAGGGACCAACAAGTACCATATTTTAACGTCTTTTGGTATGACGCGGTCGGGGATCGAACCCGCGACCTTCCGCTCTCCGGGCGGACGCTCTAACCACTACACCACGGAGGCGGTGATTTCATCTTGAATAGCCCCAGCCCATACAAATACAACAGAAACAAACACGTACAAAACCCAATGCCATAAAAGGGCTACACAGCGTGCAAGTGTAATACTGGATCTAACAACAGTTGTTTAATGTGGGAGAGTTCAGAAATATAGACATGGTCTTTAAAAGCCACTAAGCATATCCGGGGCATGTTTGGATCCACATGTACAGGAGCCTGGCACGTTATGCAAAGTGTAAGTCTCTGAAAATAGGAAAAAATTATAGAAATATATAACTCCGTATATACTGAATTACCCCAGTGAGCTCGGAGATTCAGAACCAGTGGGGGTCTAGACTGGCTTCAGTTCGGACTAATGCATTACAGAAAGGGTTGGGCCGAAAGTTTGAGTATGAAAGAGACCACTGGCATGTGAGATCCCAGCGATAAAAAGCGAATGTGGTTCTTACAAAGAGGGAAACGCATTTTAAAAACCTATTTTCCTAGATATATTCAATTAGCGTTCGTATTTTGGGTAAACAAATATATAGGTCTGGGCTAGCAGAAGATGTCCTTCATTTGAAATCCGATCTGCTGATCACAGCTGGTGGCTTCATAATATCTTTCGGAACAATGCAGTTGACTACAGCCAGCTTTTAATGTTCATCTAGGCGAGGTCTGTCAATATTTTTGAGCTGACGTTGTATTGTCGACGTTCATCAGCTGATGAAGAGAGTGATTCGTTTGAGCCAACTCCATGATGCTATACCTATTGTCAATTCATTCACTCTCTTCTTGAAGGACAACGTAATCATGCGACATACTGAAATCGGGAAATGAACGACAGTTGGTCGTTTAGTATCCATCTAGGCGAGGTCACCCACTGCTGTCAATATGTATGGACGATTTCTAGGTTTTCCGCTCAAAATCTAATTCTAAAGCGTCTGTCAACGTATATACCAACTTTTGTGCGTGTATTGAATATCTGATAGAAATTAAATGCAACTTGACAATTGGCTCGCTGAGGTACGACTTACGCAGAGACCAGTTGATATTGGCGATATACATTGTGTTGTCAATAATGACATTTGGAATGATCTACTATCCATATCATGAGACTGTGTATTTATTCATTAACCATTCTCACAGGTTCACAAATATGTTAGGTCAAAATTGATCTTCAGCAACCCATGTTGTCGTGAGAGCGAACTAATGTGATCGGGTGGTCGTTCTCACTCACTTGTTTTATGCTTGCCATCGTATCCCACTTGTGAAGATCGATGCTCATAGTGTCATGACCACGTGTAACTCGTTTGTGTATATCATTACATATTACTAAAACTGAGGCCTGCATGAACGTTACAGTGGAAGTATGTGGATGTGGACCTGAAACATGTTCCCGTGATCTTGACATTGTTGACATTGACTAACACTGACTGACTGAGTTTGGTTTTACGCCGCTTTTAGCAATATTCCAGCAACATCACGGCGGGGGACACCAGAAATGGGTTGACTAACATATCAACTGGGAATGCACTATGACTATTAGGAACAATAGACACGAACTGATTTGAAAAAATGTTGCTTGCGTTATGATGACATGGCTTTGATGAGTGAAAATGATGAGCAAAGAAAGACATCATTATATAATAGAATTAAACATTTAAGAGCTTTCTGTTATGTTGTGTGATTTTAATAATAGTCCAACAGTATCTTCGACATATTTGGTGCCGTTGATACTATGTAAAGACATGGAGCTGTTACTGTTGACCAGACATTGTGTAATATTTTGCTGATCTAAATACAAAGTACCAAACTTTGTTTCCTTGTAATAGTTTTTCATGCATACACTGCCAACCAAAGATATATATTATCTTCAAATGATATGGCTGAATTGGAAAAACATAATTTTGGAAATATTACCTTTAATTTGTAAAGTTTAACTCATATTTTTCTCATCAAATGCCCTTTCTATTAAAATTGACATTTGACCTTACCAAAATAATTTGGCGATGAGCATATATATAATATTATTGTCGATAATTTTAAATCATGATCTGAGCACTACAAAACTACTATTTTGATGAAGATCGGTCAATCCAAACCAGATTTATTAAACTAAACCCTCCAGTTATCGGTTAAAATATTACTGACATGACTTGTTGCACCTTTTAAAAAAGGGCCCCAGCACAGTAGTCACGCACGGTAGCTGATGACAACCGGCTATAAAATCAAAGCTAAGTCATTCCATTCACTCGCCAGAACTGCACCACATTTTCATCATTTTGCGGGTCTAGCTTCTAGACTATTTGGAAAGGCACACAGAATAACAATTTGCCTGTCTCCTTCAGGGGTTAAACCAGCCCCTCAACAGGTCACCCTAGTCACAGGGGCGTGTCACGCTTAGAAACAGCGTTAGAAAGACATATAGGTATATAGACCCTACCCTAGTACTATCCTTTATATAGTACTAGGGTAGGGTCTATATACCTCTCTGCTGTTTCTTTCTACACGCTGTTTGCTACAGCGTTGACATCGCCCGCCTACCGTCTCGACCCTGTGACTGCTACAAAGAGCCGTACATCAGACCGTATTACCCTCGAGAGAAGCATACACCTTATAGTATTGCTTTGAATGTAAGAATACCAAAACTTACATGACCCTGTATTGCTTGGAATGTAATAATACCAGCAGGTATTACTTTGAATGTAATAATACCAGCAGGTATTGTTTTGAATGTAATAATACCAACAGGTATTGCTTTGAATGTAATAATACCAACAGGTATTGCTTTGAATGTAATAATACCAGCAGGAATTACTTTGAATGTAATAATACCAGCAGGTATTGCTTTGAATGTAATAATTCCAGCAGGTATTGCTTTGAATGTAATAATTCCAGCAGGTATTGCTTTGAATGTAATAATACCAACAGGTATTGCTTTGAATGTAATAATACCAGCAGGTATTGCTTTGAATGTAATAATACCAACAGGTATTACTTTGAATGTAATAATACCAGCAGGTATTACTTTGAATGTAATAATACCAGCAGGTATTACTTTAAATGTAATGTTACAAAAGGTATTGCTTTGAGTAAAGCCCAAATGTCATACAGCAGAACCACTATATGCAAAGTGATTGAAAGATATAGCGGTGGTGAACAAAGTGATCCTCAGAAACAGCAGAGTTAATCAACAGTGCCCTACACAAATGCCAGTTACAAATAATTTCCCACATCATGGAAGTAGATTATGCCATTAATAAGTGACAGACCACAGACCAGGGCCTAGATTTTCGAAGCTCTCTTAGCGCTAAGATAGTCGTAAGTTAATGTTAATGTATGGCACTTACGACTATCTTAATGCTAAGAGAGCTTCGAAAATCTAGGCCCAGGAACACTATATCAGCTTGTCTCCATAGGTGCGGAAAGGGAAGGATTTTCAGCTCAAGGGAGGTAACTCGCGGCTCCTTACATGGTTATAAATGGGAAACCGACTGGTACTCCGCCAAGTCGAGTGTGTTGTTTGTCATACTCGCTATGGTGTTTTGTGTAGGGTCAGACGACATCACTATTGTATATTTCGGAATTGATGGGTGTATATTCAAGTATTAGGGCATTGTCATTTTTCTATGTGAAATTGCCAACATAGCGAGGAAAACGGACTTACTATAAGGTACACCCCTTGTTTGCAATGTTTAATTTAAGAGGGCAGAGATGACCTTTGTACAGATCGAAACTTATGTTGTGGGTTTCGAATCCCGGGTAGCCCCGACTATGTATCTAGGATTTGTCAGCACAGTCCCCGTGCTCGTGGGTATCACTAAGGTGGTAAACGTCTGAGTGAGTGAGTGAATTTAGTTTTACGCCGCCTTTAGCAATATTCCAGCAATATCACGGCGGGGAACACCAGAAATCGGCTTCACACATTGTAATAATGTGGGGAATCGAACCCGGGTCTTCGGCGTGACGAGCGAACGATTTAACCATTAGGCTACCCACCGGTCCCGTAAACGTCTGAGACCATAGTCGCCTCGGGCGGTCCTCCCACTATTAGTTGACAAGCCTAAATGTAACTGTAATACATGTACTGTTAAAGGCAGTGTTTAGCGAGACAAGTACACTCACACTTTAATATTGAAAATAGACAGCAGAATTGCGTGGTTTCAGTCGGTTTGGTCCGGCATTAAAATGACTATATGGATAATATAGTATGTACAGACAGCGCCCGTCTTCTACGAAACGTCCAGGAAACAGAGAGCTTGATTTCCTAGCATACAGACAGCGCCCGGTCTCTGCGAAACGTCCAGGAAACAGAGAGCTTGATTTCCTAGCATACAGACAGCGCCTGGTCTCTGCGAAACGTCCAGGAAACAGAGAGCTTGATTTCCTAGCATACAGACAGCGCCCGGTCTCTGCGAAACGTCCAGGAAACGTCGCAGTTATTTTTACAGTTTTGCTTGATTTGAATTAACTAGCAATAATATAGACAGCGCCCGGTCTCAAATGTCACTGAAACATCCAGGAGAGGACTGAGAGCTTGACCCTCTAGCATACATTACAGCGCCCCAGGTCTCTGAGACTGAATCTGCACGTCTTTAGCCATGAAAACAGAGTGAGGACAGAAGCCGTCCACGATTCTTAGGTGCGTGTACATATATGTGCTAGAAGTACCCGTCACTGGTTCTCTTTGTAGTAATACATTTTGATTGTGCCACAAGCTAACAATGTCGTCATCCTGTGCTGTTTCTTCTTGGTGAAAACAAGTTTCTATTTCATATTATTTGTGACATGAACAGAAAAGTTCTAAACTGCCACATCCAGAAGAGATTAATACAACTTAATACGAAATATACTTTATTTCAAATATTAAAAAAATATACAGTGAACATATCTGAAAATATTAATATAATCCGACAACAGCAAGGGGCGTAGCTACTATTACAACAAAAAGCCCGGGCTTACAATTGATTGTTGAAAAAAAATAGGCAAGCCCTCAATACTATCGAAATATGAAGCTTTGCAACCTATTGGGCTTACACGATAAAAACGGCTTGCTACGCGCCTGACCTTCGCAATGGGACTCGTGACATGTCAACATGAGCATTTCAGTGGGCGCCGCGTCACCCAGCAACCAAAGACATTAATAGCATTACAGGATCATTGCAATATGAGTTGAAAACTCTCGTTACAGATCGTATACTTGGAGAGTCAGTCACCTGCTCGGTTTTAATGTTTTAACAAACATTTGGGTGGGGAGGTACTGCAGGGATGCGCTGCCTTTTTATTCAATTGATGCTAATAATGTTGACATGGTCATTAAGCTTGATGATTTTGTGAATTATTTTCTTCAAATTAAGAATTTAGTGGAGCAAACGTAAACTGTTCCTCGACATATTATTGTCTGATTGTATACAGCTGTACACGCCCTAAGGTTATATCACGCGTTAAGTCCTACGCCAAACAAACATGTTATGTATCCACGGAGATAAACAATACCGCAATCATCTGAGTCCAGGTTTGTACTCTGTTCGAGCATCATTCTTGGAACATTGCATCCTACTGAGCCATCCCGTAGCGCGGCACAAACAGATATGTTGGAGTCACTGGGATTTGTTAGAGATGTGGAGATATCTAGAACAGAACTTTTGTATACTATGCACCATTTACAACCTTTCTCATAGCCGTGTACTGGGTTGTTCAAACGTTTCACTGTACGGCGGTGGGTCGAATCCTGGATTGTCGGCCCCACCTCCCAGACCGTTCTTGTCCAGCCCCTCCCCCTTCTCTACCTCGTGTGTACCGATGTGCACCGGGCCGCCGCTGTGTCGGTACTGCTCGCCAGCCTTCAGTTCGGCAGGGGTCATCTTGCAAGACAGGCTGGGCCTGTCGTACTTCTGTAAGTGAGAGAGAGTCAGTGAATGAGTTTGGAACATCACTTAAGTTGTATCAGGGCCCGTCAGTGTAGTGTTGTAGGACAGCCTGAACTGATGCAGGCCTTGCATCTTTAACGCTTTGGTGACACAAGCAATATGCACGTAATGACAAACCTACAAATAAAATCGTCTGAAACTGGATTCGAACCCACGATCATAGGGCTCTGGACCAAGTACAGCCATGTTGTAAACTGCCTGGCGATCTCTTGATGTCACAAGCCGGAACACGACCGCCTCTCTTCATCACTATTTGGTCTGTCATCAGCGGAATGCTGTACGTGATGACTTTGGTAGCAGATATATTGTTGTTTACGCTGCATCAGCCTTCATAACATGTATAGATTATGTAAACCTTATCTTGTCTGAAGCGTGAGAGGATGTAGCCATACATGTACAGGCCTACCTAGAGTGGATGTACGCCGTGTCGGGAATATTGCAGTCATTGTCTGAATGTTGGAGGAGCGATGTAAGCTACCGTGTCAGTAATATTGCAGCCAGTGTCTGAATGTTGGAGTAACGATATAAGCTACCGTGTCACGATAACACCCAGCCCCATGTTACAAGATGAATGTATTTGGCTGGCTCCTTGTAGTAGGCTGCTGTGTATTTAGTGCTGGCCCACGCCATGTCGTTGATTAACCTTGATACTCACCCCTGACGACCAAACCTTAATGATGAAGTCAAATACTCACACCTTCGTGGTTGACGACCAAACCTTAATGATGAAGTCAAATACCCACCCTTTCGTGGTTGACGACCAAACCTTTATGATGAAGTCAAATACTCACCCCTTCGTGGTTGACGACCAAACCTTAATGATGAAGTCAAATACCCACCCTTCGTGGTTGACGACCAAACCTTAATGATGAAGTCAAATACCCACCCCTTCGTGGTTGACGCCAAAACGCAGAGGCTTTCTGATGCATTCCGGCAGGAAAGAGAAGGGGAAGACGATATCGAAGATTGGGCAGATGAGGCGGGGGTCGACGGAGGACGCCTTGGTGGGACCTGGAACAGGCAGCAGTCCAATATATGTTCGTTTTAAGTCCAGTGTTACGTACCATGTATGGATGTAACCACTTTTGGCAAATATCAGGGCGGGGACATCAGTTTCACACAATGTGCCTATTAGGAGACTCGAACCCAGATACTTTGCGTGGCGATCGATCGCTTACAGGATAAGACTACATCTTGGACCGTTGCCCTCGCTGGATGATAGTAGTAATATTGGTGTACACATGAAGATGTATCATCCAGCTATGGAAGGGTTATGTACGAGGCAGGCTGTTTTGTGTGTTGCTGCGACGTACCTGTGAGGAAGCTGACGATGAGACCGACGACGACGACAATGAGGACGGCGGTGGCGCTGTACCACAGATAGGACAGGGTGTAGAGATAGTAGTCAGGTGACCTAAGACGGAATGCGATAACGTTGCAGTATTACTTACGACATTCATTACGGTTAGAATCTCTCGACAACTCGGCATACCATATACCATTTCTAAGTTTTGTTTTAATGTAGGCTTTCTGTACAACAAAGTCTGATAATCGCTATTATGAAAAGAGCCTCATTACAAATTGAATGTGATAAGTACTGAAACAATGATTTATTTTGACTGACTAACAACATTTTACATTTTCCAACATTCCTGTCAAACAAACCAGAAGCGCAACTTCAGAAACAATTTTCCTCTATCTGAAACCTGAAACTTTACAAACTATCTCATCTTTTCGACCACCGACCCAAACCGTCCAGAAAAAACTTGTAATACAACTGATTAACCTTTCTACAGTAGCTGCCACGGTTGTGGCGTTGTTGAGTGTCGTCGTGGCGACTGTAGATATGGAGGACATAACACCAGAGACGGTGACAGGTGCGACTGTCGTTGTGAGGTTCCAGTTGCAGCCTGTGATGTTGGTAGGAGGCTTGGGTTGAGGGGGTTTGTACACCTGGGCTCCTATACCGATCCAGAACATCATAACGAGGCTGGTGCCCAGGCCGGCGCCGGCTCCCTGTCAGAGATGGGGTAGATAGTGATATCACAAGAAATATACATGTGATATAAACCCTTAAGAAGAGTGAATGTCGGAGGAAGATAACGTATTGAGAGTAGAATTACCTGCCCGACATTGTCCGAGGAAGATAATGTAATGAGAGCAGAATAACCTGCCTGACAGTGTCCTTGGAAGATAACGCAAAGAGAGTAGAATTATCTGCCTGACAGTGTCCTAGGAAGATAACGTAATGAAAGTAGAATTACCTGCCTGACAGTGTCCTAGGAAGATAACGTAATGAGAGTAGAATTACCTGCCTGACAGTGTCCGAGGAAGATAACGTAATGAGAGTAGAATAACCTGCCTGACAGTGTCCGAGGAAGATAATGCAATGAGAGTAGAATTACCTGCCTGACAGTGTCCTAGGAAGATAACGCAATGAGAGTAGAATTACCTGCCTGACAGTGTCCGAGGAAGATAACGTAATGAGAGTAGAGTAACCTGCCTGACAGTGTCCGAGGAAGATAACGTAATGAGAGTAGAATTACCTGCCTGACAGTGTTCGAGGAAGATAACGTAATGAGAGTAGAATTACCTGCCTGACAGTGTCCTATGAAGATGACGTAATGAGAGTAGGGTTACACACGATGCTCCTAGGAAGATAACGTAATGAGAGTAGAATAACCTTCCTGACAGTGTCCTAGGAAGATAACGTAATGAGAGTAGAATAACCTGCCTGACAGTGTCCTAGGAAGATAACGTTATGAGAGTAAAATAACCTGCCTGACAGTGTCCTAGGAAGATAACGTATTGAGAGTAGAATTACCTGCCTGACAGTGTCCTAGTGAAGATAACGCATTGAGAGTAGAATTACCTGCCTGACAGTGTCCTAGGAAGATAACGTATTGAGAGTAAAATTACCTGCCTGACAGTGTCCTAGGAAGATAACGTATTGAGAGTAGAATTACCTGCCTGACAGTGTCCTAGGAAGATAACGTATTGAGAGTAGAATTACCTGCCTGACAGTGTCCGAGGAAGATAACGTAATGAGAGTAGAGTTACCTGCCTGACAGTGTCCTAGGAAGATAACGTAATGAGAGTAGAATTACCTGCCTGACAGTGTCCTAGGAAGATAACGTAATGAGAGTAGAATTACCTGCCTGACAGTGTCCTAGGAAGATAACGTATTGAGAGTAGAATTACCTGCCTGACAGTGTCTAAGGAAGATAACGTAATGAGAGTAGAATTACCTGCCTGACAGTGTCCGAGGAAGATAACGTATATGAGAGTAGAATTACCTGCCTGACAGTGTCCTAGGAAGATAACGTAATGAGAGTAGAATTACCTGCCTGACAGTGTCCTAGGAAGATAACGTATTGAGAGTAGAATTACCTGCCTGACAGTGTCCTAGGAAGATAACGTAATGAGAGTAGAATTACCTGCCTGACAGTGTCTGAGGAAGATAACGTAATGAGAGTAGAGTTACCTGCCTGACAGTGTCCTAGGAAGATAACGTAATGAGAGTAGAATAACCTGCCTGACAGTGTCCGAGGAAGATAACGTAATGAGAGTAGAATTACCTGCCTGACAGTGTCCTAGGAAGATAACGTAATGAGAGTAGAATTACCTGCCTGACAGTGTCCTAGGAAGATAACGTAATGAGAGTAGAATTACCTGCCTGACAGTGTCCGAGGAAGATAACGTAATGAGAGTAGAATTACCTGCCTGACAGTGTCCTATGAAGATAACGCAATGAGAGTAGAATTACCTGCCTGACAGTGTCCGAGGAAGATAACGTAATGAGAGTAGAATTACCTGCCTGACAGTGTCCGAGGAAGATAACGTAATGAGAGTAGAATTACCTGCCTGACAGTGTCCGAGGAAGATAACGTAATGAGAGTAGAGTTACCTGCCTGACAGTGTCCGAGGAAGATAACGTAATGAGAGTAGAATAACATGCCTGACATTGTCCGAGGAAGATAACGTAATGAGAGTAGAGTTACCTGCCTGACAGTGTCCGAGGAAGATAACGTAATGAGAGTAGAATTACCTGCCTGACAGTGTCCTAGGAAGATAACGTAATGAGAGTAGAATTACCTGCCTGACAGTGTCCGAGGAAGATAACGTAATGAGATTGGAATTACATGCTTGACAGTGTCTGAGGAAGATAACGTAATGAGAGTAGAATTACCTGCCCGACAGTGTCCGAGGAAGATAACGTAATGAGAGTAGAATTACCTGCCTGACAGTGTCCTAGGAAGATAACGTATTGAGAGTAGAATTACCTGCCTGACAGTGTCCTAGGAAGATAACGTAATGAGAGTAGAATTACCTGCCTGACAGTGCCTGAGGAAGATAACGTATTGAGAGTCAAATTACCTGCCTGACAGTGTCCTAGGAAGATAACGTAATGAGAGTAGAATTACCTGCCTGACAGTGTCCTAGGAAGATAACGTAATGAGAGTAGAATTACCTGCCTGACAGTGTCCGAGGAAGATAATGTAATGACAGTAGAATTACCTGCCTGACAGTGTCCTAGGAAAATAACGCAATGAGAGTAGAGTTACCTGCCTGACAGTGTCCGAGGAAGAAAACGCAATGAGAGAAGAATTACCTGCCTTACATTGTCCGAGGAAGATAATGTAATGAGAGTAGAATAATCTGCCTGACAGTGTCCGAGGAAGATAACGTAATGAGAGTAGAATAACCTGCCTGACAGTGTCCGAGGAAGATAACGTAATGAGAGTAGAATTACCTGCCTGACAGTGTCCGAGGAAGATAACGTATTGAGAGTAGAATTACCTGCCTGACAGTGTCCTATGAAAATAACGCAATGAGAGTAGAACTACCTGCCTGACAGTGTCCGAGGAAGATAATGTAATGAGAGTAGAATTACCTGCCTGACAGTGTCCTATGAAAATAACGCAATGAGAGTAGAACTACATGCCTGACAGTGTCCTAGGAAGATAATGTAATGAGAGTAGAATTACCTGCCTGACAGTGTCCTAGGAAGATAACGCAATGAGAGTAGAGTTACCTGCCTGACAGTGTCCGAGGAAGATAACGTAATGAGAGTAGAATAACCTACCTGACAGTGTCCTTGGAAGATAACGTAATGAGAGTAGAATTACCTGCCTGACAGTGTCCGCGGAGATGACGTAATGAGAGTAGGATTACACACGATGCCCATAGGAAGATAACGTAATGAGAGTAGAATAACCTGCCTGACAGTGTTCTAGGAAGATAACGTAATGAGAGTAGGGTTACCTGCCTGACAGTGTCTGAGGAAGATAACGTAATGAAAGTAGAGTTACCTGCCTGACAGTGTCCGAGGAAGATAACGTAATGAGAGTAGAATAACCTGCCCGACAGTTTCCGAGGAAGATAACGTAATGAGAGTAGAGTTACCTGCCTGACACTGTCCGAGGAAGTAAACGTAATGAGAGTAGAATAACATGCCCGACATTGTCCGAGGAAGATAACGTAATAAGAGTAGAGTTACCTGCCTGACAGTGTCCGAGGAAGATAACGTAATGAGAGTAGAGTTACCTGCCTGACAGTGTCCGAGGAAGATAATGTAATGAGAGTAGAATTACCTGCCTGACAGTGTCCGAGGAAGATAATGTAATGAGATTGGAATTCCCTGCCTGACAGTGTCCGAGGAAGATAACGTAATGAGAGTAGAATTACCTCCGTGACAGTGTCCGAGGAAGATAACGTAATGAGAGTAAAATAACCTGCCTGACAGTGTCCTATGAAGATAACGTAATGAGAGTAGAATTACCTGCCTGACAGTGTCCGAGGAAGATAACGTATTGAGAGTAGAATAACCTGTCTGACAGTGTCCTAGGAAGATAACGTATTGAGAGTAGAATTACCTGCCTGACAGTGTCCTAGGAAGATAACGTAATGAGAGTAGAATAACCTGTCCTGACAGTGTCCTAGGAAGATAACGTAATGAGAGTAGAATTACCTGCCTGACAGTGTCCGAGGAAGATAACGTATTGAGAGTAGAATTACCTGCCTGACAGTGTCCGAGGAAGATAACGTATTGAGAGTAGAATAACCTGTCTGACAGTGTCCTAGGAAGATAACGTAATGAGAGTAGAATACCTGCCTGACGTGTCCTAGGAAAATAATGCAATGAGTAGAATAACCTGCCTGACAGTGTCCGAGGAAGATAACGTAATGAGAGTAGAGATTACCTGCCTGACAGTGTCCGAGGAAGATAACGTAATGAGAGTAGAATAACCTGCCTGACAGTGTCCTATGAAGATAACGTAATGAAAGTAGAATTACCTGCCTGACAGTGTCCGAGGAAGATAACGTATTGAGAGTAGAATTACCTGCCTGACAGTGTCCTAGGAAGATAACGTATTGAGAGTAGAATTACTGCCTGACAGGTGTCCTAGGAAGATAACGTAATGAGAGTAGAATAACCTGTCTGACAGTGTCCTAGGAAGAGAACGTTAATGAGAGTAGAATAGCATACTTTACGATGCTCCTAGGAAAATAATGCAATGAGAGTAGAATAACCTGCCCGACATTGTCCGAGGAAGATAACGTAATGAGAGTAGAATTACCCGCCTGACAGTGTCCTTGGAAGATAACGCAAAGAGAGTAGAATTATCTGCCTGACAGTGTCCTAGGAAGATAACGTAATGAAAGTAGAATTACCTGCCTGACAGTGTCCTAGGAAGATAACGTAATGAGAGTGGATTGACCTGCCTGACAGTGTCCGAGGAAGATAACGTATTGAGAGTAGAATAACCTGCCTGACAGTGTCTTATGAAAATAACGCAATGAGAGTAGAACTACCTGCCTCACAGTGTCCGAGGAAGATAATGCAATGAGAGTAGAATTACCTGCCTGACAGTGTCCTAGGAAGATAACGCAGGGAGAGTAGCATAACATGCCTGACAGTCTCCGAGGAAGATAACGTAATGAGAGTAGAGTTACCTGCCTGACAGTGTCCGAGGAAGATAACGTAATGAGAGTAGAATTACCTGCCTGACAGT